GGGTAGCTTTCCATGCCTGAAGCCGGATGGCAAGTGGTCTGAGTTTTTCGAGTGGCAGTTCGCCACACGGGGGAGGGGAACTAACATTTGTGGTAATGAGGAGAGGAAATGCTCTATTGAGTATGTGGGTCTGCTATTACAGTGGTAGTTTGTTTTGGCACGCACTAAATGAGGAGGATGATTCCAACTTGAATTGAGCTTCCATCGCTCCAGGGATGGAGAGGGGGCGCAAGACTTCTTTGAGGGAGTTCCAGCCCTGGTGAGAGCTGACCCTCTCCTCTTCCTCTCTGCATTTGGATCAGGACGGCTTCTGAGGCTCAGGGTCCAACGCTACTCTGGGGCTGGGACCTTGACACCTAGGAAATGGGTAGCATTTCTCTGTCTGGGGGCCCTGCTGAAGCCCAGGATCAGACTGGGGCTGAGGCGGCGCCAGCTTGGCAGGCTGCTGAGTGGATGGAGCCTTATGGTGATTTGAAACAGCCGCCGCACTGGAGCACTTCAGCAGGAAGTGACGCATTGCCTTCAATTACTTCTGTGCCGCTGTAAACCGCTCGGCAAACCCATCCACGGCAGGGCCAAATAGTCCTTTGGGAGAGACTGGCGAGTCTAGGAAGGCGACCTTGTCAGCGTCCCAGATTCAGCCAAAGGTGGTGATCTCCTGCGCAGTGGCCTTAGTAGTGCGCAGGGCCAAGTCAGTTGTTGTGTGCAGGTCTCTGAAGGTGTCAGAACTCTGGTCGGACTCATCCATGGTGCAGAGAATCTTGGCCTGCAACACTTGGAGCACTGCCATTGTGTGAAGTGCTGAGCCAGCCTGGCCAGCCGCTGAATAAGCCCTGTTCGCTAGGTCTGAGATAGTCCTGCAGGGCTTAGATGGATGCGCTGCATGGGCTTTTAACCCCAGGGCCGATGGAGGGCACAGATGCGCAGCGACCGCCTCTTCCAGAGGGGGGAGCTTGCTGTATTCTCGTTCTTCAGCACCGTCAACAATGGTGAGAGTGGCAGAAGTGGAGGGATTAACATGCACCGAGTATGGGGAATGCCATGTCCTTGTGAGTTTCACGTGAACTGATGGAAGGAATGGGGCAGGCCCACTTTTAAGGGTTTACGTTTTGCATATTTGAAATTAAATGCATTATATAAGTCAATTTGGAATATAAATCATGCCATGTTTCAGATGTTAAAAAAAGTCCAGAAAATATGGTATTGCAAATATTTTAGCAGATCCCCTAGTTATGGGTCACGGACCCCTAGGGACCTGTTTGAAAACCCCTGTGCTAGAACACATTTTACATTTTTTCACATTTACAGAAAACACACTTTTTTTATATTATATATTGCTGTAGCACCTCTTTTCACCTCTCAGAAAAAGGCATCTCCTCAACATAGCGAAACCACTTACTCAAACTGTTCTTTGGGGGAGTGCCAAAGCAGCCAATAGTAGGCAGGCATTATGCAAATGTGTAACTATTGACTGATGTTTAAAATGTAGACCAATATTCTTTTAAGTAATGTTGAAGTATATGTTTAAGTACTGTATACTTCATGTAGTAAGTATACTAACATCTATGTACTAGTAGTATACTTGTAAGTGTACTATTTGAATACCGCTTGGGACTAAATTGACCCAATTTTTAGTATATAAAAGTATAATTTTAAGTGTATTATAAGTGTAACATTAGTAAACTTTAAGTGCACAACTAGTCCACAATTAGGTTTTTCATTTGTACGGCAAGTGAACTTATGACTATACTAGTAGTTTACTATTGTAATACTTGTAGTTAATGATTAGTTTATGAAAGTACACTTTGACGTATACTCTCACTAAATTACTAGTTTACCAGTTTTATACTGCAAGCATACTTGCAAGTTTTAGGGTACTGTCAGTAAACTAGTACTTTTGTAGTTTTGCACTGCAAGTATACTTGCAAGTGTTCTTAGTGTACTCTTCGGTAACTAGTAGTTTATTAGTCTTATGCTGCAAGTATAATTGCAAGTGTTCTGTTAATGTACTCTTAGTTAACTAATAGTTGATTAGTTTTATGCTGCAAGTATAATTGCAAGTGTTCTGTTAGTGTACTCTTAGTTAACTACAGTCATGGCCAAAAGTTTTGGCAGTGACATAAATTTTGTGTTTTGTGAAGTTTGCTGCTTCAGTATTTGTAGATTATTTTTCCACATGCTTCTATGGTATACTGAAAAACAATGATAAGTATATCATAAGTTTTAAAGGCTTTTATTGGCAAAAAATATATATATAATGAGTCAATATTTACAGTGTTCACCCTTGTTCTTCATAACCTCTGCAATTCGCTCTGGCATGCTGGATATTAGCTTCTGGGTCAAATCCTGACTGATGGCGATCCATTCTTGCCTTAGTTCTTGGAGTTGATCACAATTTGTGGGCTTCGGCTTGTCAACTCGCCTTTTGAGGACTGACCAAAGGTTCTCTATAGGATTGAGATCTGGGGAGTTGCCTGGCCACGTCTTGCTTTGTGACATGGTGCTCCATCATGCTGGAAAATGCACGGATCATCACCAAATTGCTCATGGATCGTGGGAAGAAGTCGCTCTTGCAGGATGTTTTGATACCATTGTTTATTCATGGCAATATTTTTGGGCTGAATTATGAGAAAGCCCACTCCCTTGGTTGAAAAGCAACCCCACACATGGATGGTCTCATGATGCAGGATGCTTCACTGTTGGCACAACACAGGACAATCGATTTTCCAGATGTCCCAAACAGTTGGAAGGGAGCTTCAGGGAAAATAACCTTGCACCAGTCTTCTGCTGTCCAATCCATTTACTTCCT